CTGCAATGGTTTCCACCATGTCTGGTGTAAACCATGTCTGGTGTAAACGGTGTCTGGTGTAAACGCTGTCTGGTGTAAACTGTCTATGGTGTAAACTTTTTCTGGTGTAAACCTTTGTTGGCTTTGTCTGGTGTAAACGACGTCTGGTGTAAACCGTGTCTGGTGTATACGGTGTCTGGTGTAAACGCTGTCTGGTGTAAACTGTCTCTGCTGTAAACTCTTTCTGGTGTAAACCTTTGTCGGTTTTGTCTGGTGTAAACCTCGTCTGCGGTAAGACCTTTTTGTCTGGTGTAAACGGTGTCCGGTGTAAACGCTGTCTGGTGTAAACTGTCTCTGCTGTAAACTCTTTCTGGTGTAAACCTTTGTTGGCCTTGTCTGGTGTAAACGACGTCTGGTGTAAACCGTGTCTGGTGTATAGACGGTGTCTGGTGTAATCGATGTCTGGTGTAAACTCTTCTCTGGTGTAAACCTTTGTCGGCTTTGTCTGGTGTAAACTTTTCCATGGTTACTTCGTCTGGCGTAAACAACGTGTGGTGTAAACCGTGCCTGGCGACATGCACCATCATCATCATTATCATCATCATCATCATCACCTTCATCATCATCATCAGCATCATCATCATCATCATCATCCTTATCATCCACATCATCATCATCATCATTATCATCATCATCGTCGTCAGCACCATCATCATCATCATCATCATCATCATCATTACCAGCAGCTACGTCATTGCAATCGTCATCGACCTCATCGTTAGCTCATGATCACAATAGCATATCACGGGCGTATCGTGAGATCATCATCTCATGGCACATCATATTTTCATATTTGATGTCACCAGCCACGAAGTTACAAGTATCGGCGAAAAGCTGTGAATTGGCTATTGCAAAGTGTCGTGACCAAACTGATTAGAAGGACCTGGGTCCACGACCGGAAGTTGTCCGAAGTCGACCCTTGTTCCAGCTGAACGTGCAGAGACTCCACAAGGCACGAGATCCACGACCGAGAGTTGTTCGAAGTCGATCCTGTTCCGACTGGGTGTGCAACTATATCTGATAACCGACAAAACAACATGAGTTGAACTGTGGGTAATTTGTTTTGTTTTTCAAGTGTTGCATTTGTATGAGCATTGGTTGTCCTGATGCCAGGTTGGGACGTGCGATTTCGCACACTTCGGCGGCTCTTACTACCGGGACTAGCGTTTGAGCTCGACCGGCGCTGGATAAAAAAGAATCGACCGGGACTACCGTTTGGGCTCCGAAGTACAGTGCAACAGAATATACATTAATAGATTTGGTAATAACGTGATAATAGTATCATAATCATAATGTATATATATATATATCTATATATATATATTATATATTGTGTCATCTCATCATCATCTCATTTTGTTTCATCTTAATGTTTTGAATCATCATATATCATCTCTTCATTTCTTTAGTGCTCATTCATCTTCTGTTACTTCGCTTTTCTTCCCTTCTATTTGTTCTCTTCCGCCTACTTGCTTTCGGGCCACCCTGTCGTCTAGTGTGTGTTTGTTTTTTTCCCGAAAGCGTAGCGAAGGGTTCTCGTTTAACTCTTGGGGGTCTGGGGGTAGAGCCTTGTTCGCGATCCGTTGTTTCTACGTCCGCAACCGTCCGCAACCGTCCGCAACCGTTCGCAACCGTCCGCAACCGTCCGCAACCGTTCGCGGTAGAGCGCTAAGGCGCTGCCATTGGGGGAAGCTTTTGCAAGTGACTATTCATGGATGTGTCACGTGTCAGTTTGCGCCGCTATTCCATTGTGATTTGCATGAAAAAGACATGTCGCACAAGCAACGTGATGCGTCTCGCTGCACAGGCGCAGCGTTTGGTGAGATCTGCAGATTGCTGCGCAGTTCCATTGGGATTAGCGTTTGGAGAGTCGTGTTTTTGGGGTGTTGGATGTGGCCGTGCCATTGGGATTTGCGTTTCCGGGTGTGGCATCGAAGCTCTGTTTTTGTGACAAGTCTCAGCTGAAATGCCGATTTTGGTGGATGGGAGTATGCTCAGAACGGGTCGAAATCATTCCAAACGTGTGGTGTGGTGCAAATTTTGTTGAAGCTCACATGAGATGATATTGTCACTTTTCGTGGCAGGCGCAGTACTTTGCGCGGCTTTTGATGTGTGGAAGTGCGATTCTTGTGGTAGGCGCAGGGAATCGTGAGGTTGCGAGGTGTGACGGAGGTGACCTGTCGTGGCAGGCGCAGTACTTTGTGCGCGTTAGACGTGTGGATGCGGAAAGATTTGTGGCAGGCGCAGGGAATCGTTAGGTCGTGAGTTGTGGTAGAGGTGAATGTCGCTGTCACATTGGGATTGGCGTGTGAACGGGTGTTGTTTGGAGGGGCTGGACTCGCGAAACTGCTTGGCAGGGCTGCGTGATGTGTGTGCTCCGATGGGTGTTTCTGCTTGACTTTTGGAGGAAGTCTCGTACGATATGCTCGTTTTGCAGACTTTGACATGTGAATTTTGGAGGAAGTCTCGTACGAAACGCTCGTTTTGGAGACTTGACACGACTTTTGGAGGAAGTCTTGTACGAAACGCTCGTTTTGGAGACTTGACGTGTGACTTTTGGAGGAAGTCTCGTACGAAGAGTGCCCTACAAGAGTGTCCTACAAGAGTATCCCACAACGAGTGTCCCGCAAGAGTGTCCCACAAGAGTGCCCCACAAGAGCGTCCTACAAGAGTGTCCCACAAGAGTGTCCCGTATGAGTGTCCCACATGAGTGTCCCACAAGAGTGTCTCACAAGTGTGTCGCACAAGAGTGTCCGACAAGTGTGTCCCACAAGAGTGACCCACAAGAGTGTCCTACAAGAGTGTCCCGTAAGATTGTCCCACAAGAGTGTCCTACAAGAGTGTCCCACAAGAGTGTCCTACAAGAGTGTCCCGTAAGAGTGCCCCACAAGAGTGTCCCACAAGAGTGTCCCGCAAACGTGTCCCACAAGAGTGTCCCTCAGGTCCCTTAAGAGTGTCCCACAAGAGTGTCCTATAAGAGTGTCCCACAAGAGTGTCCCACAAGAGTGCCCCACAAGAGTTTCCTACAAGAGTGTCCCACAAGAGTGTCCCACAAGAGTGCCCTACAAGAGTGTCCCACAAGAGTGTCCTACAAGAGTGTCCCACAAGAGTGTCCTACAAGAGTACCCCACAAGAGTTTCCTACAAGAGTGTCCCACAAGAGTGTGCCACAAGAGTGTCCTACAAGAGTGTCCCACAAGAGTGTCCCACAAGAGTGTCCCGTATGAGTGCCCCACAAGAGTGTCCCACAAGAGTGTCCCGCAACAGTGTCCCACAAGAGTGTCTCACAAGAGTGTCCCTTAAGAGTGTCCCACAAGAGTGTGCCACAACAGTGTCCCACAAGGGTGTCCTACAAGAGTGTCCCACAAGGGTGTCCTACAAGAGTGTCCCACAAGAGTGTCCTACAAGAGTATCCCACAAGAGTTTCCTACAAGAGTGTCTCACAAGAGTGTCCCACAAGAGTGTCCCACAAGAGTGTCCCACAAGAGTGTCTCACAAGTGTGTCCCACAAGAGTGTCCGACAAGAGTGTCCCATAAGAGTGACCCACAAGAGTGTCCTACAAGAGTGTCCCTTAAGAGTGTCCCACAAGAGTGTGCCACAACAGT